GCAGGACCTGCTCAACAGATTTCTTGTTTACCTCTTTTATAAATAATAACTTTAGGACTTCCTGGTGGTCCAGTGGTTAAGAATATGCCTGCCAAATCAGGCAACACAGGTTCAATCCCTGGTCTGGGAAGATCCCACATGCTGTGGGGCAAGTAAGCCCTTACACTGCAACTACTGAAGCCCCCCTTGCTCTGCAACAAGAGAAGCCCCACTAACCGCAATTAGAGAAAGCTGGTACACAGCAACCAAAACCCCAGGGCGGCCAAAAATAAATAAATTTTTTAAAATGATAATAACTTTAAAATAGCAAGTGTATGGTGTTTGCTACATGCTGAGCATTGTTCTTTTTATCTATATTAACTTATTTAATCGCACAGTAACTGAGAGAGGAGGACACAGTTGTCCCCTCTGTAGAGACAAGGAAAGTCTGACCACATTTGTGGGCTGAGAAGGAGAAATCAATATCCAGAGAGAGAGCAGAAATGCTATCTGAACTCAAAAGGGGGGTTGCTCAGGGATTAGGGGTGATCAGTATTTTCCTCTCCACAGTTTTTAACTCCTAACTTCTCTACCATAGGCATTATGATCTTTGAAATTAGAAAACTAAACAGTACAAAAATAGGCAATCATGTTACTGATTTATATTGCCTTTAAATTAGTCTTTATGTCTTTTACGTAAAAAATAAGCTTTCCAATAAGAAAGTTAAAATCCTGAGAGTAGGAATGGTGTCTTATTTCTTCTTTTCCCCCACCGTCTACACCTGGTGTGTGTGTGTGTGTGTGTGTTAAAGGGAACAAAATTAAACCCAACCAAACTCAGACCATTGTTAATATTGCCTCAGATTTAGCTCTCTGCAGGCGAACTACCCTATGTCTTTTCGGATGAGCGCCTTTAGGACGTGCTTTAATCCTTTTTCCTTCCCTCTTTCATTGCCCCGTCTCCCACCCCACCACTTAAGGACTTAGAACACAGGTGCATTCCTCTGGGACCACCAGATAGCTTGTGTTTTACTACTGCTGGCTCTCAGGGCAGGAGAACTCTCCTGTGTTAGGGATTCACAACTTTGCCCTGAACTATCACTTGGATATCTAAGTAATTATCTAATTATACCATCATATTTGTTTACTTGTCATTTTCATAAGCTAAGTTATAAATTAAATTGAAGTCTTTTACATTCAATCTTAATGTAACTTTCCTTCAAATTCTTGATTTTTAAAATTTTGTTGTTATTGATGATCTTGTTTGTTTTGGGAAGAGAAAGCAAAAATGCCTTTTTCCCTGTATTTTGCTATTCTTTCCTTTCTCCTACTTCCCTCTTAGCAAACCCATCCCTGAAGTTCCTGTTTCTCTTTCTTCCTATGAAAACTGTTCCCCTTGGTTTCCTCAGGGCTATACGTTAAATCTTCAAGGAAGAAAACCTGAACTCCGAGGTCCATTCATAAGAAACACTTACTCCCAAGTTCAACACAGGTCCTGCAGGGCTTTGTCAGGAAGACCACAGTCGCGGCAGAAGGCAGTCGTGGGCGAGGAAGAAAGGTAAGTATCGGCTTCTGTGGACCCACGTTGAGTCCATTCACGAAAGATGGAGACGTCGTGTGACCAGTTTCCCACTTCTTCCAGGAGTGCAGGTGGGAGGGGTCCCAAGAGGGGGTGAATGCCTGCAGAATAGGGTAGATCGACCCACCAGTCGCCTCCCCCACCCCCATCCTCATCCCCACCGCATGGAAGCTACCACCATGCTCTGTATGTATCATCTGGAATCCTTCCAGTGGTGTGCAGGATAACTGTCCTCGTTTCAATATTATAATATAAAGAAATTTTCAAGGCTCTGATAAATCAAATGACCTAAGACCACACTAGTGGTTCCTGTGGGCTGAAGCCCATCATGCATAATGTATCTGAAGAAATACATAGAGAAGATTTTATAAGAGTTAAGCAAAACTAAGTAACAAAAGATGGAGGAAGAGTGGAAATAACAAAGTGTCAGACTCTACATGAATTCAATCAAATGTGAGGCATAAATAAGATAACCTGCAGCTAATTGATGGATTACAAATCACCCCAAGTCAAATTCATAAACTTTATAATATCCTTGAAAGTATTCAAATAAATACTGTGACCTTAGGCAAAAAGGATTTTCTATTCATATGCATGAAATATTTTGTTCCTAATTATTTCTCCTTAGAGTGAATAATAATGTCTGGTATAAATATGATTTGTTGCTTAAGTTTTGGTATTTCAATTTGTCCTATATATTTCCAAAGAAAAATAGAATCATAAAGCTGCTATGAAGAACTGTCTAAAAGGGATAAAAACTGTTGATTTATAATTTACATTTTAGCTGTGTGTATTTGTTCTCAGCATATATTTAAATCTGAGTTATATCACCACATATTTTGGGGCCAGCATAATTGCAAGGATGTTCCTGAAGCAATTCATGTCTGCTGCCTTTTTCTTAACATTATTTTATACTCCTAATTTCTCCCTACATGCCAGTCTTATCATCTGCTTCCTTACAGTTGACCTTTGGCAAAGCATAAACCAAAGGAGACTGCCTTCCGCTAGCCACACATGGAGAACAGGAACTGACATCACCGGTGGTAAGGACAGTGAGTCTTGACCATGTGACGACCAAGGGCAGAGTCCCTGTGTGACTCTTTCAGTAGGCTGGCAGAGAGACAGAGTTTTTGGTGCTAACCCTTAATTCATTTTTTAGTGTGTGCTGCTAAGCTACATGATCTCAAGGTGAAGAATCCAACCGATAAGCAGGACATATGGGTTTGATCCTTGAGTCAGAAAGATCTCCTGGAGAAGGAAATGGCAATCTCCTCCAGTATTCTTACTTGGGAAAATCCATGGACAGAGGAGCTTGGAGGGTTATAGTCCATCGGGTCACAAAAAATCGGACACGACTTAGTGACTAAACAACAAGCTTGTTCACCAACTTAAAAAAATTAAAATACTCTTAAAAGTGGTTGGACAACCAGAGTTACAAGTAGTAAAATCAACAACCAGACCTAAAATTGTCAGGGTCTCAATTATTTCCAAATTCTCCAATACTGTGTGTTACAAAACACTGCCGACATCTGGAAAAGTTTAATAAAATGTCTTTACAATACCATTTCCATTCATCTTTAGGATATCTTTTTCTCAGAGAAATCCTGAATGTGGCACATTTCCATGCTTACCATAAAGATCTTTTTTTTTTTTTTTGAGGTATAGTTAATTTACAATGTTGTGTTAGTTTCAAGTGTATAGCAAAGTGATTCAGTTATTTTTATATATGTGTATTTTCTTTTTCATATTCTTTTCCATTACAGTTTATATAAGCTATTGAATATAGTTTCCTGTGCTCTATTGTAAATCTTTGTTGTTTATCAATTTTATATATATGTATATGTTAATTCCAAACTCCTGATTTATAGCTCCCATCACCCCTATCTCATTTTGTAACCATGAATTGGTTTTCTATGTCTGTGAGTCTATTTCTCTTTTGCAAATAAGTTCATTTGTATTATTTCTTAAGAGATCTTTTATTGAGGAAAACCAGTAGAGGCTTTATGTTGGAGAGCACATTGAAAATCAAAAATGAGACTTCCCTGGTAGCTCAGGAGTAAAGAATCCTCCTGCAATGAAGGGATACAAGAGACAGACTTTGATCCCTGGGCTGGGAATATCCCCTGGAATAGGAAATGGCAACCCACTCCAGTATTCTTGCCTGGAAAATCCCATGGACAGAGGAACCTGGTGGGCTACAGTCCATGGGGTCACAAAGAGTTGGGCATGACTGAGTGACTAACACTTTCGCTTGTCAAACAAAGTGTCACCTCCAGGCAAGCCGTAAACATGCATGACATGTTTCATGGCAGCCAAATCTAAGGAAGCACAGAGAAAGTAGTGCTTTCCAAAGCAGGTATCAGTATCCATGTGAGATGGTAGCAGCCATTGATGACAAAAACTGCACAATCTAGACCAAATGATCATACGATGATCCTGCACAAACGTACAAACAAGACCAAAAAAGGTTAAAGCTAGGCATCATTATCAAATCCAAAATCTGCTTACATGTGTACAACTAGAAATTAAATCTCTCCATCCTTTATGCTAGAGACCCTGGGAAACAGGGCAGCAAGGGATGCCAGAGACCTACTCAGAAAGGTCAAGGCTCTTCCCACCCGAATGCTCACCACGGTGAAGAGAGCGTGGAAAGGCTGAGGCCGTGTTTGTTGGTGCCTTGAATGACCGCAGCCTCTTCTAAAGTATTTCAGGGCTCAGACTAAGGAAGGTGAAGAACACTTCCAAACCCTACTGACTGTTGAGACCTGTCAAGGGTCTAAAATTCTAACCCCTGGCAAGCTAAGAAGACAAGCGACCATATGTTCACAGATGCTGGTAGGAGACGGGAGACTCCGGGGTCAGAGACCAAGGGCAGTTTTACTCTTCATGGCTATAGCCAGAGATCCAGCATTTGGGTCGGGCCCTGAGCTCCAGTTCCCACAGGGGACGTGAAGAAGGCCAGTCAAGGTCTGCATGTGGGATGGAGCATGCTGCAGGAGAGCTTAGGAAACCCCAGTTAAAATGTGCAGACCTTACCCTGGAGGGAGACACACCTATTACACAGCAGGGTAAACAGACTTCCCTCGTAGTCCAGTCAGTGAAGAATCTGCCTGCAATGCAGGAGACCCCGGTTCAATTCCTAGGTCGGGAAGATCCCCTGGAGAAGGGATAGGCTACCCACTCCAGCATTCTTGGGTTTCCCTGGTGGCTCAACTGGTAAAGAATCTGCCCGCAATGCGGGGGGCCTGGGTTCGATCCCTGGGTTGGGATGATCCCCTGGAGAAGGGAAAGGCTACCCACTCAAGTATTTTGGCCTGGAGAATTCCATGGACTGTATAGTCCATGAGGTCTCAAAGAGTCGGACACAACTGAGTGACTTTTACTTTTACTTTACTTTCACAAACAGACTTGACTTCCCTCCAGGTAGAGGCAGTATCTCTACCTTCCAAGGCTGCTCAGCACAGCACCATCCTCCTCACCACCCCAGTCCCAGATGGCTGCATGTTTTCCCTTTCGTTCCCTGGTGATTTCACTGCATTGAATCCAGTCCTTGATTTCGTTCTGGTGCCTGCTCTTCTTTTCAGCCCCAGCTCTGAAACTGGCCCCTGAGCTCTGAACCTGCCTGAGGCATGAAGACAGGGCGGGGACCAAGGACAGCCTCCTCACCTGTAGGCATTAAGGCAAGGAAGAGCCGTCTTCTTGTTTTGCACTTAATGAGGCCATGACGCACAGAATGGCATCTAAAACAGAAACTTTGTGGCATCTGAGCACGAAACTCTGACCTTGAAAACAGTGGAACATGCACAAATGAAAAAGCACAGGTTGCTGATAATGGGGTTAAAGGACAAAGCAGCTCACCATGGCCCCCTCATTTCTGGGCTCAAGCAGATTTCCCAGCCTGACACATGCACTGAAGGGTCTCAGGCCATCCTCTAGTAACCTTGGTCACATTGCAATGTCATTATAATATCATTTGAATTGTGGTTTTGCCCCACCCACACCCCATACCCTGCCTACGGAGGTTTTGTTTAGGTGCTCACAGGGAAGATTCAAAATGATGGCTGGTGGAAGCCCAAATGAGGAACCACTGATGATGCAATCCTAGGGGAGGGAAAGGAGAGTTCCCCTCACATAAACCCTGGAAGATTAACCCCATACTGAAAACCTAAGTGACCCCTATTCACGAGGATGCTCACGCTCTTCTTGGAGTGTATGACTTTCTGCTAGTTCAGTTCAGTCGCTCAGTCACGTCCGACTCTTTGCAACCCCATGGGCCACAGCCCGCCAGGCCTCCCTGTCCATCACCAACTCCTGGAGTTCACCCAAACTCATGTCCATTGAGTTGGTGATGCCATGCAACCATCTCATCCTCTGTCATCCCCTTCTCTTCCTGCCCTCAATCTTTCCCAGCATCAGGGTCTTTTCTAATGAGTCAGCTCTTCGCATCAGGTGGCCAAAGTATTGGAGTTTCAGCTTCAGCATCAGTCCTTCCAATGAACACCCAGCACTGATCTCCTTTAGGACGGACAGGTGGGCTTTTCACTCCTTCCTTAAATAAACTGCTTCTCTGAGTGCTCTCCCACATGTACTGTGCTTATAACAAACTCTGTGCTTATTTTAGAATCACAGTCTCTTTGTAGAGTTCTTTCTTCAAAGACAAGGACCATCCCATCCCACCCTTCAATGTTGTCACAGGGCATTGGATTTGAGCTTCACGCATCATACAGCAGATTCTTGTTGGCTGGCTCTTTTACATATGCTAATGTGTATGTTTCACTGCTAGTCTCTCAACTGGGAGGTGGAAGGGAGGTTCAAGAAGAAGGGGACACATGTATACCTGTGGCTGATTCCTGCTGATGTATGGCAGAAACCAACACAAAATTGTAAAGTAATTATCCTCCAGTTAAAAATAAATACTTTTTTTCAAAAAGAAGACAAGGCCCAAGGCTCCATCACCTGCTGAAATGATGCCTAGCTCATGCCCCCAGCAAGATGTTCCCAGAAGTAACCAGTGGCAGCTTCCTTAGCCTCACTAGTTCTGGCACCCAAGGTGCCCTAGTAAGGAACTCCCTCCCCTCAGCTCATACTGGCTATGAAATTGCTTGTTTCTAGGCTGGGTAGGATGGATAACCCATAGGCAACTGGATAATTGGGTTCAGCCTGCTCTAGCTTTTTATTCCTTTTAATGAGCTTTCTAGGGAAGGAGGGGACTCGTGTCATGCATATGCAATTTTCATTAATGCTATTTGGAATAGTCTTTCAGTCTGTAAATCCAATATGTTGCCATAGAAACAGTTTTCCATCTGAAATGCATCCAGTCAATTCTGAAATTATCATTCAGAGCACCGTTATAAACTGGAACAAATCCAACAGGTACCCAGAACATCAGCACTTAGGCAGCAAGCTGCGTTTTCTCATTTTCAAGTGAAAATATGAAGAGAGAAGAACCCAACTTTGATAGCCATAAAAACACCAAAAATATTCAAAGTAAGAACATTTCTTCTTGATTATTTTATTCTTGAAATAACATTAAAATAAAGCTATACGCACCATCCAGAGAAGACAAGGTGTATTTTAAATAACGAAGCAGAATGCAATGTGGGGGAGATGGTTCATTTAAACAGCATTATTCCTAGCGAAAAATCCTGTATATTTACTTATTGGGAGAACTCCAATCTTTGGAGTAAAGTTTTCAAGATTGATTGATTTATCTTGGTTTTGGTGGGTCTTCACTGGCGCCCAGGGGCTTTTCTCTAGTTGCTGCAAGCAGAAGCCACTCCAGCTCCAGCGCGAGGCTTCTCACCGTGGTGGTTTCTCTTGCTGAGGAGCATGGGCTTCAGGGCACATGGACTTCAGGAGCTGCTGCCTGCGGGTTCAGTAGTTGCAGCTCGTGGCTCAATGTTGTGGTGCCCGGGCTTAGCTGTTCCTCGGCACGTGTGATCTTCCCAAACCAGAGGTCGAACCAGCGCGCCCTGCGTTGCAAGGTGAATTCTTAACCCTTGAATGACCATGGAAGCCCAGAGTGAATTCTTAATACTCCCTTGTACCTCTCTTCTCCTTGAAAATAGTTTAACTGCTTAACGTTCTGAAATGGAAACTTATTTGGAGTTACATAGCCCCTGGAAGGGGAGTCACAGATTTGAAATAAGGACGCAAAATTTCCAGAATTTAGGGACACAACCAGAAATTTTTCCCGTGTGGAATTTATGATAAAAAGAATAAAAATAAAGTTAATTAAACAGTCCATCATTTAAATTAATCCAACTCAAATGATAATAAGCTCATGTGTTGGCAATAAAACTTAGAACGAAAGAAAGAGAAGTCGCTCAGTCGTGTCTGACTCTTTGCGACCCCGTGGACTGTAGGCTATGAGGCTCCTCCATCCATGGGATTCTCCAGGCAAGAATACTGGAGGGAGTTGCCATTTCCTTCTCCAGGGGATCTTCCCAACCCAGGGATCGAACCCAGGCCTCCTGCACTGCAGGCAGACGCTTTACTGTTGGAGTCTCTTTCTAGAGTTCACACTATTTTACTAAGATTTCCTCAGGAAAACATTGTGTAGAGCCTAGAGATCAGCACTGTTCTAGGGAACGTTGTGTGGTGATGGAAATAAACTCAGCAGTGCTGTCCAGGATGGTAGCTGAGGCCACATACGGCTATTGGGCACTTGTTTGACGCTGTTGCTATTGTTTAATTCTGGATTTTATATGCATCTCAAATCACTTAGGAGGGCAACCACAAACAGGGATGGTAAAACTGGCAAATAGTGGTTTAAACAAGTATGGAGCATATGTTTCTCACTCAGTAAGAATTCCAAAAGCAGACAGCTCAGAGCTGAAGAAGTTATCACGAGAATCATCAATAGTGTCTACTGTTTTCCTGCTGTATTGTCATTTGCTTGTGGATATTGTCCTCAAAATGGCTGTTGACTCTAAGTGTCATATCCACATTCCAAGAAGAAAAAAGAAAGGATAGTGTAAGTAACAAAATCTTCTCTTCTTATTTTCTTCTTGGGAAATAAGAAGACAGGTCTTTCTCAGATGTCTCCCTTCAACCTGTTGATTAGAATAAATAACAAGACCATACCCAGCAGCAAGAGAAATTACTTTTCACTTTCCAGGTTCCATAGTAGAGAAAAGAAAGGAAGAAGGTGATTTGAATAGGCTTCACTGGGCCAGTAGCATGCCATGGGTGCTTGAATGGAGCTACTGCCACCACAGAGTGGAACTTTTTAAAAATGCTGATTTAAATTTGAATTGTGATGTGAATCTAGTGGCAACCATATGCATAGCACACCTTTGTATCTTAACAGTAACAGGAAATACTCAGGGTCGAAGTCACACTGACAAGGTTTAAACAGCTGCCTTCACCATTCTTGTTACTTCTTTCTCCCCCATGGTTGGGTTGATGTGAAGATTCTATGTGTTACATAAATGCTATATAAATCTTAGCAATTGTAGTTTTTTAGCTTATTCTTATTAAAGTACATTGATTTACAATATTGTGTCAGTTTCAGGTGTTACACACATGTTTTTTTAGATTGTTTTCCCTTATAAGTTATTATAAGATATTGTGTATAGCTCCCTGTGCCATACAGTAGGTCCTTGTTGATTATTTTATATATGGGTGTGTGCTAAACCTCTTCAGTCGTATCCAACTCTTTACAACGCTGTGGACTGTAGCCCACCAGCCTCCTCTGTCCATGGGGTTCTCCAGGCAAGAAACTGAAGGGCGTTGCCATTTCCTTCTCCAGGGGATCTTCCCGACCCAGGAATCAAACCCAAATCTCTTTAGGTCTCCTGCATTGGCAGGAGGTTTCTTTACTACTAGCACCACCTGGGAAGCCCTTCTATTTATAGTAGAGTGTATTTATTAATCCCAAAATCATTCTAAAAAATTATACAAAAGAACTTATTTACAAACAAAAATAGACTCACAGACATAGAAAACAAACTATGGTTACCAAAGGGGAAAGGGAGGGGATAAATTCAGAGTTTGAGATGAACATTTGTTATTACTATATCCCAGTTCAACGGTTTATTAGCCTTATGGTCAAGTTACCTAACCACACAATATATGAATAATTTCATTTGCAAAATAGAGTTAATAATACTCCTACATGGAGTTGTTCTGAGGATTAAATGAAGAAATACATCAAACTGCTTTGCATATGCCCATGGAAGCATCCAATACATGTCAGATGTTATTATTCAATTTTGATTGAAGTCGTATTTGAAGAAGAGAAATTTCTGTAACTTGTAGAAAAAACTGGAGAAAACGAGGTAAGGTTATAATGATTTATAGTGGATGAGCCAAAAATAGGGGGCTAAATCAAATTTGTTCATCATCAAAATGTAAGACTTTAAAGCCAGAATGATTCCACCAGGAGTCAAAAGATACATGAGATTCATCTTGACACAGTCTGCCAACTTTCTTTTGTCATATTGCAGCCCCATTATCCAAGAAAAAATGTATATTATATGCATAATATGCATTATATATTTATATTATATATGTTGTAGACACATATTCTATAGAATATGTATGTTTATATGTATATTATATATGAAAATATGTATTTCTCTCATCTTTGCTCACATAGTGTTACTTTTTCCTTATTTTCAGTACCTGATAGCACAGGAAAGTTAGGTAGAACAAATACATCA